AAATAAAAAAAAAATAATCCAGAATGTATAAAGAATTTTCAAATCTCTATTAAAATCTCAGTTAAAAATAGGCGGGAGATTTGGACAGATACATAACCAAAGGATGGGGCAAAATATGAAAAATGCTCATCATCATTATTTAGTAGATACATGCAAATGAAATATGATACATCCATATAATAAAATGTTATTTGCTATTAAAAAGGAATGAAGTACTGATGCATGCTATCATTTGGATGAAACTTGAAAATGATATGCTACATGAAAGAAGCCAATCACAATATATCACACATTCTATGATTCCATTTACATGGAATGTCCAGAATAGGAAAAGTCTGCAGAGATAGAAAGTAGTTTAATAGTTGCCTAGGAGAAGGGGAGGATAGAGAGTGACTGTCAGTTGGTATGTGGTTGCTTTTTGGAGTGTTGAAAATAGGATTAAATAAATTATGGCAATGGTTGCAAACTCTGTGAATACACTTAAAACATTGAATTGTAAACTCTAAATCATAGATTGTATAACATGGCAATTATATCTAAATACATTTTTTTAAAAATATCCAAGAGACTTCTGCTCAGGACAAGATCACACGGACCTTTTTGCCCAAGCTCCTTCCTACTAAGTACAACTATAAACTGTGGAAATAACTTCAGAGCAAACTGAAGGAGAATTCTGAAAGATGAAAGAGGAAGGTGTACTGTACTGGTTTGGGATCCCAGGACTGGAGAAACAGGACAGTATCAAGACATCCTATGTCCTCTCACCCAACAGAAAAAGGTGACCCAGGCCTGACAATTCCTGAATGCCAGCTTCATTTTAGCAACAGAAGGTAACCCAGGAAAGCTCATCCTTCCTCTAGATCAAATGGAAGTCCCACCTACAACAGGTGAGCCAGGCAGCACTACATATCAATAGCAGAAAGATAACAGAAAACTTTTAAAACACTTGGAAACGAAACTAACCTTCTAAATAATCCATCGGTCAAGGAGAAAGTCTCAAGGGGAATTAAAAAAATATATTGAACAGAATGAAAATACGACATATCAAAACTTGTGGTACACTGTGAAAGTACCGAGTGCTTACATTACTAAGTTCCTACCTCAAGAAACCAGAAATGAAGAGGAAAGAAAACAAGAAAAAAGCAGAAGAGAGGATGTATTTGAGGTGAGTCAGAGTGGAAAGGGCTGTTATTTAGTGGGAATAATGTAGAAATGGAATATGAATGAGTGGAGAATTAGAGAAGGAGATGACCTGGGGCATGTGAAAGGATTGCTGAGTGGCCTGGGGAACAAGCTCAGGTTGGAAATTTTAACTATTAGATGCACCAATATGTGGAGTGCTACTCCCTTCTCTCACAGTGGTCATTATGAGATTGGAGAGATCAGATTTTTGGAGGACCTCAAACCTGAGACTAGCACAGATGTGGTATTTGGAGGGCAGGGGGTTGAAGCTGCGGTCAGTTCTAAATCAATATACCATGACATCTGGCTGGATAAGAAAAGAAATAAAGAGGAAAGGAAGGGCTCGAGGTATTAGGCACCTCAGTGAGGCCAAATAGCAGATGACATGGCACCCAGCCACTGTTAGGAGATTCGAGTCACAGTGGTATATTGAACTTGAGTCTTCAGAAGTCCAGTCATGCCCAGCGATGCCAAGTGGCTGGGGGTGGTTGAAGTGCTAAGAAGCGAAAGGGCAGGGTGGTGAAGCCAGAGTGTATGGAATGGGTCTTCCATGTGGTTATTGTTGAGGTCCACCTAGGATGAGGACAGGACTTGGAGTGTTGAGGAAGCCTATTGAAATCGCCCTTAGAGTACGGGAAAGAGTGAGGATAATACCCACATCTACTCACTACTCTCAGCTCAAACCCTCTGGTTAGCAGTCAGTACTGGGGAGGAAAGTAAGAAAAACAATAAGATCAGGAAAAAACCTGGTTTCAGGGGAAGCCAGGAAGTAAAAGGAATGTTTTGAAACTACCTTTCAGCTTATCTGGCTTGTGTGTTGGTTTTTAAGCTGAGCAGGGAAAGCACAGGCAAACTCTTCTGGGGACACATTTTACTATTTTAATCCCGTAAAGTTCTGAGAATGGCAGTCAGAAGGTTTGTCTGAATGTTAATCCAGATCTCTGACTTCAAGCAAGTTGTTTCCCAGTAGAAGCCCTTGTGTGACCATTTATATAACAAAAAAGAGTTGGAATGGATGAGCTCTGTATTTCCCAATGGCTTTAATATGTATGGGCCCTAGATACAAATGCTAGAGTCCACCTGACATAGCAGTTACTGTCTAACACCTTGTCCTATCTAGAGAGAAAGGACCTAGGAGGAAGGAACAGGAGACTTGCTTGTTGAAGTGCAAATCCCATCCAAAAAACTGCCCAAAGATATCACCATGTGTCTTCTTGTCAGAGGAAGAATTCTAAAATGGATGGCCCAGCACACTCTAGTGGTTTAACACTCCAGCTTTGGAGACTGGCTGTTCTCCACTAACCAGATGTGTCATTTGGGCAGATTATTTGACCTCTCTGTATCTCATTTTCTTCAAGACAAAAATGAGGATTACAGTAGCCTGTATCTCATAGAGTGGCGAATATTAAATAAAATGTTGTATGTAAAGCTTCAAACCCAGTGGCAGATACTTTGGAAGAACTCAGTATGTGTCAACTATCATCATAATAATGATTATAATTATTATGGGAGGGAGCCAATATTACATTTCTGCTCTCTGTAAAACTCTATGCAAGGATATATCCTAAAGCAAAATGTGCAAAAATAAATAATACACATTTCACTTTCTGGGGCCCTGTCCCTGATATGGGAAATTTCCAAGCATGTCATGAAGTCTTAAGTTTTCAAGAAAGGTTGGAGGTCCCATCAATCAAACCACTACATGTTCTTCTCTTACCCCTAAAAATCATAGATTTCTAGATGTTTTCAGGTTTTCATTTTTCACTCATCTAAGGGGAATTTCTCAGTTGAGAACATCTAGCTATCTCTCCCTTTATTCCCCTCCTTTCCCCCTTTAGAGGCCTTCCTTTTAAGCTTCATTCTTTCCCCTACTTCTCCTTGATCCCTCCTTAACCATTTATTCTACTTTAACTCTTCAACTACAGTTCTTCCCCTGTCTTCCATTTTACTCCCCCTTCCTCTTTATCCCATATCCCTCCTCCCCTTTATTCCATGTCACCCCTCCATCCCCTTTATTCCCCATCACCCCTCCATTTTATCTTATGTCCCTCCCCTTTACCTGCCCATTACCTCTGCCTCTTTATTCCCCATCACCCCTGCTTTTTATTCCCCATAAATCCCCTTTTGTCCCCATCACTTCCATCCCTTTATCTCACAACACCCTTCCCCTTCATACCGCATCACCTCCTCCTCTTTGTTTCCCATCACCCCTCCCTTTTATCCCATATCCCCCCTCCTTTTTATCCCATATCCTCTCTCCCCTTTATTCCATGTCACCCACCCCTCCCCTTTTTTCCTCAACACTGCCTCTTTATTCCCCATCACCCCTGCTTTTTATTCCCCATAACCCCCCTCTTGTCCTCATCACAACCACCCCTTTATCCCACAACACCCTTCCCCTTTATACCCCATCACCTCTGCTCCTTTATTCCCCATCACCCCTCCCTTTTATCTCATGTATTCTACTTTAACTCTTCCATTCTCTTTATTCAACCACAGCTCTTCCCATCTTCCATTTTACTCCTTTTTACTCCCCATTACCCTCTTCTTCTTTATCTCATACCCCTCTCCCTTTTATTCCATGTCACCCACCCCCCTTTATTCTCCATCACCATCTCTTTATTCTGCATCACCCCTGCTTTTTATCCCCCATAACTTCCCTTTGTCCCCATCACCTCCATCCCTTTATCCCACATCACCCTTCTCCTTCATACCCCATCACCTCCTCTTTATTCCCCACCACCCTTCCCCTTTTGTCCCTATCACCTCCACTCCTTTATTCCACATCATCCTTCCCCTTTATTCATTACCCCCTCCCCTTTATTCCATGTCATCTCACCCAGTTATTCCCATCACCCCTCCCCTTTATTCCACATCTCCCCCTCTGCTTTATTCCATTCCTCTCCATCCCATTATTCCATGTGACCCCCTCTCCTTTATTCCTCTTCACTACCTCTCTTTCCCCTTCAGCTCCAATCAGAGCTTCCCAACTCACCAACACAATTTTCAAACTAAACACACACACACACACACACACACACACACACAGTAAGCCATGAATATGCTGCTGTCACAATACAGATGTTTATTAATGATTAAATGCCAGAGAAGTTTTAACAATCACAAATCTTCGAGCTCTGCGGTTGTTATCCATTGTGTGATCAATTTCTATCCCTCAATACAATACATTCTTCATTCTATGGACCTTAGCAGTTGTTACCCATCAATATCAGCTATAATTTTGGATGTCATACATAACCCATATCTGTGTGTTACCAGAGCATGTCCCGCAAATTTGTACCGTCCTGCATAGAGGAACTACAGAGACGATAGTTAAGAACATTTGTAATCAGGTGACTTTAGCTACTTGGAACTATGTGTTTCTACCTAACTAGCTGTTTTGCTGACAACAGGATGTGAACTCCAGCTGTCTGTAAAACAGATCTAGGTAATAAAATCAAATTTTTCCTCTAACTTTTGATCCCAGAAGGCTAGTTAGGCTTACATTTGAGGTTTCCCTGTTAGCGTGACCTGAGCCAAACTGCACAGAATTTTGAGAGTGGCTGTTGGATGAGCCATTGGTCTAAATAATTTGGGGGGGGGGAATCCTGAGGTGGTGGAGTTGCTGCGGGGACATGGCTATGAGTTGATGTGACATGGTTTAGCATTAATTATTTGTCAGCTGTCAGTAGGCTGACCTAACGTCCTAACATGCCTCTTGAGGGCCTTTCCAATTGAGCTCTCGGGAGGAGGGAAGGAAAGTCAGGAAAAACATGCAATTCCCTTTTGGGGGGAGGGAAAGCACCTCGAGATTTGTGAGCTTCTCTGGGACAAGTTATTTACCACAAATGTCACATCAATTAAAGGAAGGGCTGCAGTGTGGGAAGGCCAAGATCAGGGGTAAAAGAGAAAGGCAAGGTAGCACCAGGGAGCCTGGGCATGACACAGAAACATCTCTGCTTTTACTAGCTAAAGGGACCAAACATCCCCAGTGAAGGGGCTGGCAGCGTGTTTGGAATTCTCAGCCTGATCCGAGCATCAGGTGGAAATCCTTCTTACCCTCAGATCTTTACCTTCAACATTCTCCTCAATGTTTCCTGTGACATCCCAGGTCTACCCCCACCCTTTTCCCCTGTCCGGCACCTTATAGAAGGAAAAAACATCTAAGGAAAGAAGTAGCCGATGCCAGTTTTGGCCTCCTTCTCCCGGGGCACACGGAGCAATGGGCGGTCTTGCTCTGGAATGGGGGGGTTACCCGCTCCTTCCTCATCGTCATGGGAACGGGCAGTGCCGGAAGGCACAGCTGGCTCCTCAGAGGAACCTGGAAAATAGTAACAATGTTAACTCCTTATGGTTCTAGACTTCATACTTTGCACAGCACCCAAGGGACTAAGACCTAATTTTGCTCTTCAAATACAATACGAGGTAAGAAGTTAGGAATGAGTATCCCCATTTGACATGTTAAGAAAACCACAGCCTAACAGTAGAACGTAGATCGCTAAATCTAGGCCCACTGTGGAAGGTTTTGGGGGTAGGGCTGAGTTAGAGAACAGAAAGAGTGAGACAGATACCCCGTGCTCAGAGCAAATGGACAATACCACCAGGAAAGTGAGGAAGAGGGCGGCCTCCTAACAACCACCACCACCCTACAAGCAGCCTGACTAATTTCACTAAGCAAATGAGTAACAAAGCTGGAGCCGGAAGCTTACAGCACTTCATGGAGGGAAGAAAGCAGGTGTTGGTCATCAATGACTCTGGGGAGGACTTGTGGTTCATGACTTGGCCAGGCCGAGACTTGTTTTTAAGGAGTGTGGCATCTATAGGAAACATAACATATGCATCTTCTTTATGGATTGCCTTTGGACTCCAAACTGCTTTGGAGTCAAGATCGTTAGGTATTGGGACAACTTCCACATTCATGATTTCTTCAAGACTGGCAGCCAAGTCTGGCTGAAGGTCTGGAATTTTGTTGAGAATGGAGATTTCTTCAGGCTCTGGATCCAAATTGCTACCTTTGGCCTCTTCAAAAGTGTTGGCTTGGTCTTTCTGAGAACTGGGAATTTCGTTGTGAATTTGAGCATCCTCAGGCTCTGGAACCACATTAAGAACTGAGTCTTTTTCAAGATTGAGGTTTTCTTTAGAGTCTTGGATTCCACTGATATCAGAGGCTTCTTCATGTCCTGGGATTTCTTCGGCATCTGGGGCTTCTTCACTGTTTGGGATTCCACTCACATCTGAGGATTCTTCCTGGTCTTGCATTTCATCAAAATCAGACACATCTTCAGGGCTTGTTACCACATGGAGAGCTGGGACCTCTTCAGGGTTGGAGTCTTCTTCAGAGCCTGCAATTCCATTGACTTCTGGAGTTTCTTCCTGATCTGGAATTTCTTCAGTATCTGAGGTTTATTCATCATTTGGGACTCCATCAAGAGTTGGCACCTCTTCAAGGTGGGGACAGAGTCTGAGAGTCCATTAACCTCTGGGGATTCTTCATGATTTAGGATTTCATGACTCCCAGGGGCTTCTTCAGGGCTTGGCACCACATGAAGAGCTGGGACTTCTTCAAAATCAAGGTCTTCATCAGAATCTGAAATCCCATTGACCTCTGGGGTTTCTTCATGGTCTGGATTTTCTTCAGCATTTGAGGATTCATCATTTGGGATTTCACCAAGAGCTGGGACCTCTTCAAGACTGGGATCTTCTTCAGAATCTGGGTTTTCATCATTACCTGAAGCATCTGTGTGGTCTGGGATTTCGTCTGCTTCTGGGGCTTCTTCATTGTTCGGGATTACATGGAGATAGGGAATTTCTGCGAGGTCAAGATTTTGGTTGTCTTCAAAATCTGGTCCTCCTTCAAGGTCAGGGCTTGGGTTTTCTCCAAGATTTGGGATTTCTTGCACATCTGGGTCTCCTTCAGGGTCTGGGACCATATCAAAATATGGTATTTCTTCAAAGTCCGGGATTTCAGTGAGTTCAGGAACTTCATCATCAGGGTCTAGAATATCTTCAAGGGGAGGAAGATCATCAAAATTCAGGGTATCATCATCATCATCATCATTGTCATCATCATCGTTGTCATCATCATCTTCATCAAGCTCTGGGATGCCTTCGAGATGTGGTCCTTGAATCTCAAGATCATTTGGGATCTCGACACCTTGAACTTCCCCAAGGACTACTCCTTGATTGAGATACTCAAATACTGGCTCTTCATGGACTGACACATCTTCCTCAGAGGATTCATCTTCCTCAAGGGGCTCATCTTCAGCAAGGACCTGGCCTTCAGGAAGGGCCTGACCTTCACCAAGGGCCTGACCTTCAGCAAGGGTCTGACCTTCACCAAGGGCCTGATCTCCAGCAGGGAACTGACCTTCATCAAAGGGCTTGCTCTGAGCAAGGACAGCAGCCCGGGCTTCAGCAGAATTTTCCACTGGATCAGAAAGTAAAGCATCCTCTTCCATCTTTATGCGTGCACTCCTGGATTGGAATGAATTTGAAAAAGCAAGTCAGTTTTTATACTTAGGTTGTCTAACATGATGGTGGTCTGGGATTAGAAGCCCCCACAGGCTATGCTGCTTCAGGCTAAGCTTAAACAAACCAAGAAAACACTCACTGGATCTTCCTCAAATTCCTGCGTCTGATAAAATCCAGGGCTTCAGGACTGGATTTCCACACACGCTTAGCAACCTGCTTCTGAATATGGGGAGGCACCTGAGGGTAAAATGAGCAATGTTAGCCTTTATTGCATGACATTTTTAAATTTAGACTCATCTCTAGCAGGTACCCAGAACTGAAGGCACCATCACCAGCTAATGCAGGAGGAATTTCTGGGAGATTTTGTGGCTGCCTGCTTTGGCTACTCTCAGGGTTGCATGTACCTCTCCCTTGCCTTGTTAATAGGAGAGAAAAAGCTGTGAAGTAAGTTTGTCCAGAGGTTCCATTTACCTGGAAGAGGATATCCCAGTTATCAATCATGGCACGGACCACATTGACAGAAGCAACATAGTGGTCAATCCCCAGTCTTGTCTTCCTGGACTCCCTCTTGGCAAATCTCCCCTTCTTCAGGAGAGCAGATCCAAACACCAGAGCCAAATTGGTGGAAGTCATACGGTTGCCTGAAACCTATGAAAAGGAAAGCAGAAAGTGATCGACTCTGAGGTGGTGATGGAAATGACACAAATAAATGTCTCTTTTTGTTCTTGTTTCCCTCTCCTACTGTGTGTCTCTCTCTCATATACTCCCATACATGTCCCCTACTACTCTCATTACCCTTTTCCAGAGTTTTGTTTTGTTCTGTTTGTTTGTTTGTTTTACCAATTGTCCATCAATGCCAATGGAGTCTTCGCAGTTCTCAGTGATTTTATGCAGGGCCTTCAGCAGACGCTCCAGGGTGTCACTATGGCAGGGTGGCATCAGGTAAACCAGCAGCTGCAGGGCAGAAAGCTGATCCTGCGGCTTCAGAGCTAGAAGAAGGAAAACAGGGGCTGGCTCAGGGGGCTAGCCTTGGCAGCAGCCTGATACCAAGAGAGATGTGATGATGCTTGAAAACTGAGGAAGGCTATGGAGAAAGTACCCAGGCATTTTGTCTTTGCTCATTCCCAAAGCATTTGAGCTCAGGAACCCTAAAAGCAAGAAAGTGCTCCCATCAAAATCAGACCCCTTCTATAGAACCTAGGTTCTTCTTTGCCCTGAGAGGGCACACACAGCTTCAAGAAGCTCTAGAGAAATTTCCAAACAATAGACTTATAATGTAATATGAAGAGATGCAAGGAAAGTAATCTGGATTCTGGTGCTTATTCTGTTTTAGTTCCTTGGGGTCCTGCAGCCAGAGCTCTGTCCCGAGACCCCCACACCCCCATATTCCTTTCTTTGCCTGAGAAGGGAGAGCATAAGACTCACTTGCTGTCAGAAGGAAGGACATATACAGATCATCTGGCAGCAGAGAGTCCTTCATATCCCGGAAAAACTCCTTGAGGAGCGCAGCCACATCATGCACGTTCTGAGTGTCATCCAGCACGACGTCCAGACCTTGATCAAATTCTTCACGGAGCTAGGAAAAAGGGAGAGAATACATGGACCCTCTGCCCTGCCCACCACAGGCCACCTCCTGTCTTATGCTTCAGTGGAGGTAGCTGGCAATATGGTGTGCCTGAGGGGTTAGAAAGAATACCTTGATTCCCCCCACACACACCAGGCATGAAACTCCCTCAGGTCTGTGGGGAAGACCCCCCCACACACACACACACCTGCTTTTCCTCACTCAAGGAACATAAGTATAAACATAACCAATTTACCTCACGCACTCTCTCCTCCGAGTATTCCAGGGTGAAAATCCCCACAGTGCTTAAGCCTGAAAGAAAAGACCAAGGGATGCTAAGCATCTCTGGTCCCCTTCCCCACCGCATTTCCCCTCTCCCCAGCTGAATCCCAACCCCAGCTGGTGGCAGGGGAATGTTCCCATCCTCAAACCTGTGACCTCTTTTCTCTCCCCATTTCTAGAACACCATTCTTTCCCTTTAATTGCCTCCTACCTTGATTTAACAATCATTTTCAGGTCCCCTTACCATGTTTTTCAATGAAGCTGCAGCAAGCCTCAACAACCTGGGGGATTTGTTTAGCAATCGGATTGAGGCTCATCTTCCTTTTGGATCCCAGAAGTCGCTGGCCAATTGGAAAGGAAATCTTGGAAAGCTGCAGGGTCTGCAGCAGCAGGGCCCCGTCCTCCAGTTCGGCCAGGCTGTCCACAGACACTGCACCCTGTGGAGAAACCCAGACTATCTTAAAAATGGGGGCAGGGGGCGCAGGAAGGTCTCTTCAGACCTTCCTGAGGATTGCGTCACATTAATAACAGGAGACAGTCTCTTCGTGGCAAGCCAATTACAGGCCTCCAACGTGTTCTGTTCACCTCCCCCTTCCTCTGAGGACACAGGTCTTGACCCTCCCCCCGTCCCCCGCATCCCCGGATGCCTCAGTTAGGGCCACTGCCTGAAACCTGGAGGGTTGTTTAACTCACTCGACGCCCACGGCGAGTAAACTCCCGGGGCAAGGAGGGCTCATCCCGCCTGCGACTGAAAAAGCGCCTGATGCGGCCAAACATCCTTTGCACCACGTTTCCCCGACGACGGCCCGCAGCCTGACCCGTGGATTCTTCAATCTGCATCGCGGCTGTTAGTTCAAGATGCTTGCGGCGGGTAAGCTCATTCACGAGCACCTCTTCCAGACGAATACCAAATGTCTTGAGTGATACGACTTGGGAGCCAGGGAGAGAAAGAATGAGAAAGGTCCACGCTCCGCAGCGCTTAAATCAGGAGGAACTGCAGGGGCTGTGGCACTCCTCTCAGCAACCGCCCGCAGCCAACCCCACCCCTCCAGACCCGCAGCCTCCCTCCTGGAGGAGTGAGCCAAAAAGACCCTGCAGTGGTTTGGCGGAAGGACTCAGCTCCACTCAAACTACCCCGACGGAGCTAAAGGTCCCTGCCTTAAGTCCTGCCAGGGGGGGTGACAGCCTCGAAGCAATGAGGGCAATTTCTTCTGGGCGATCCGTGTGGGGTGCGTGCATTGGGAAGGCTTAGGCAGATCAGCTAGGACCGCCCCGTGCCTGCAGCTAGCGCGCCATTTCCTGAAATCATCCCCTACAGGGTTTGGGGTGGGGGAGTAGTGCCCCCAGAAGCAGTGGGCCCCGCCCAGCCTCCAGGAGCCAGGGACACAATATGGGAGGTTGCGGGGTGGGCAGCATCCCATTTAGTTCCTAAGAAAAGTAAGAGAGCCCCTCACCCCTCTGCTGTCCTCTCAGAATCAGAAACCACTTCTCAAAGGTGTTTGGACGGTCAATAGGTAGAGCTATGGGAAGAGAAAAAGAAAAGACACGCACGCTCACACAAAAAGGATTTAATAAATGTCGAAAACATTGCAATGCACTGATCCGCAGGGAGGGGGGTGGCAAACAGCTGGGTCCAGCCCCCTGAAAGTGTTGTGCTTTCTCCCAGCCTCAGTTTCCCCGTTTGACAACCTATCCACCACACCTGAGTCTCAAAGAATTTAAGCAGATCAGACGATTGGAGGCGCCGCGTGCGCACCGCACACCGTGTCACGCACGGCAGTAGCTGCACACAAGGCTTCCAGCCTCAGTTGCGGGCTCTGAGGCGCCGGAACAGTGCAACAGGCTAGGGGAGGGGCTCCGCCTGCGGCGCCGCGGCAAGTAGGGGTCTCCAAGTTCCTGCTGGCGCGCTCGCGCCCCGGCTGCCGTCGGCTCCCCTCGCCACAGCCCGAGAAGTGGCGATTTGCGCCGTCCCGACGCTCAGACCCCCGCAGCGGGGTCTCCTCGACCCTCGCATGAAGCCCTCAAGCCGCTGCCGCTGCGCGCGCCTGGCGAGCCCGCCGCCCCCCGCACTTTTCACTGTCGCGGGCGCGCCCCTCGGCCCGCGCGCCCCCTCCCGCCTCCCCTGGGCCGCCGAGTCCTCTAGCACCCCCGGCCCCCCACACGCTCCGACCCCATCCGGGGCTTCGTCCCGCTCGCTCACCCGCAGCGGGCTGAGGTGGGCAGCTCTCGCAGCGCACCTCCAGCCGACGCTCCCGCGCCCGCACAGCCCTCCCGCCCGGAGCCCGGATTGGCGCGTGTCTCTCCCACTGTCTCGCTATCTCCCTGGACTCGCCGTCTCTCGAGCGCGCCGTCTCTGTGCGTTCCAATCCCTTCTCGGAGTGTCCCTTTGAGCCTCCGCCTCGCTCTGACTCGTACGCGCACCGCACCTGGTGCGTCAGTCTCTTCACCTGCCCTCTGTCCACCTGTCTGTCCCTGCCATCCGCCCGCCTGTCTGACCGCCCCTCAAGCCCCCCAGTCTTGGACCCAACTCAACTAATCTTGACCTCTCCCACAATTCAAGCACCCTTCAACTCCCGCTTCCTCAGTTGTCGGGGCGCCCGGGGACCGGAGCGGGAGCCCCTCCCACCCTCCTGGACCCCAGACTCGGCCCTTCCCGCCCGGGGGTCCGCTCGCCGGAAGGCGGGGACGCCACGCTCCCGGCGGCTCACCTCTGTCAGGTTTGAATTCAGAGAGGAAATGTCTGGCCACGAGTTCGTGGTAAGCAGTCTCTTGCAGCTTCAGACGCTCCAGCTCCGACAGACTGTGTATTGATATCATCTTCGTCCTGCGGTCCGGATTGTGTCCTGGGGCTCCTCCCAGGACGTTCACTAAAAAAATGAAGGCGGACAACAACAGCAAAGGGGGCATGATTCTGGGGCACAGTGTCCTTGCTGCCTTCAGAAAAGGAATGCAGCCACCCATTCTGGAATCGGATGATTATCAAGGCTGCATCATCCAATTGTCACTGGACCTGGTGGAAGGAGCTATGGGGGGGTGGGGAGGGTGACAAAGGGGGAGGGAAAACTGGGAGGCGGCTTCACCCTCAAGGAGAGCTGCCTCTGGTTGCTTATTTAAAAAAAAAAAAAAAAAAAAACTTAAAAAAAAAAATCAGCCCTGAACCCACAATCCAGAAAAGAGAAAACCCAATTAGGAAAAAAAAAAAGACAGAAAAGAAAAAGGAAGGAAAAAAAGATTAAAAAGAAAATCAACCAACCTTATTCACAATTTTAAAATGTACACTGAGGCAAGAATAAGGTAATATTGTCCATCAATTAATTAGAACAGTGATGGGGTTCATTTTTATTTTTTAATCATACTACTCTATGCTGTCCAGGTTGGATGAAATTTAGGCACATCCATCTAGGTTAGGAGCACTGAAAATTTGTACAACTCTTCCAGAAAGCAAACTGAACACCTAAGTATGGAGCCAAATATCATCCCCAGGCCCTTTGACCCAGTAATTCCCTTCTAGGAATCTATCCTAATGAAATCTTCCTTTGGACGGGAAAAACCATATTTACATGAGCTATAACAGGAAAACATGTAAGGGGGAAAAGGTAGCCCAGCAACAAGACTAGTTATATAAATTATGGAATGACCACAGTCTGGAAAATTATGTAATCATTAAAGTGATGTTTACAAAGAGCTTTTAAACAGCAAATAGAAAATATAGAATTGTATTAATTATGATTACAACCATGTGAAGAAAAACATGCATAAAAATAAAAGACTGAAAAAATGCACCCCAATACGAACAGCATCTGTATTAAGTGGTAGGATTTGGTTTGCCTTTTGCCTTTCTCTATTTACCAAAAATTGTGCAACTTGATTATACGATTCTTTTTTCATGAACAAAATATCAGTTTGTACCAAAACAAACAAACATCATTTCGAGGCCATTTCTAGTGAGACTCCCTACTACAGGATTGGATGATCAGAGTGAAGTTTGTCTTAGTGTATTGGCAAACCTGTTTTATATGTCCCTTCTCCATGGTACCCACTATCTCAGACTGCTCCTGGGCTACATAGGATCCCTCAGTGGGGATCTCCCTGGACCCCATACAGCATTCTTTCCTGCACATCCTGGCCTCTGTTACTCATTTATTCTTTCATTCATTCATTTTTTAAAAATCTATATGAACTACCCACTTTGTGCCAGGCACTAAAGATTCAAATATGAACAAGATAATACTACTCTTTTCATAAAGGATCTAACAGTGCAGTGAAGGAGACATACAGGGCGGCAACAATTTACAAAACCTTGTGATAAGTCAATGGCCAAGATATAATCAAAGTACTGTGAGAGCAGAAAGGAGGAAACATCTAAGTCTGCCTGGAGACAGCGCTTGGGAGAGGGGGGGGGAGTCCAGAAAGAGAACAGCTTGTGCAAAGGCAGAGAGATGGGAGAGAGGTTGTTATATTCTTAAAGCTGTCTAAAGGGGATGGAAGGAGACAAATCTGCATAGGCAAAGATGAGCTCAGGAATGGCCCTGAAAGCCATGTTATGGAGCTGGACCCTTCTCCTGAAGGCAGTAGGGAACTACTGCAGGGTTTTCAGTGGGAAGTGACAGTCAGAGCTGCAGCTGGAAAAAGCACAGGGAGCAGTGAAAAGCCTGGTTTGGGTAGAGAGTCTGAAGTAGGTAGATCAGCCAAGAGGCAAAGAGATGTTGATACAAGCCAGTGTCACTGGGGCTAGGGCAGGGGATGGATTTTATGGGTAGAATTGATGGAACTTAGGGGAATTGTAATAAAAAGGAAAGAATTTAAGACAGCTCCAAAGGTTATGGTTTGGGTGAGTGAATGGATGCTGGTTCTTGACAGAGAAGATAATTTGGGGGAACTAAACCTTTGACAAGAAGGGAAGTGGTCATATGCCATTTTTTTTTCTGAGCCCCCATTTGCCATGGAGTTTTATGGTAATATTCTATATATTATAATTGAGTTGGGGGGGCTTAAATTCCAAAGATCAGGCAATGTGGCTTTAACAGAGGAAAAGTAGGAAGGAGTTTATCATTCAATAATCTAATAAACGAGCTCTGTCCAAAAGAAACACACAAACAAACGCACAGACCCACAAAAATCCCACCCCTCTTCTGTTTCCAAAATTCACTTTTGCCCACTTTCCTTAATGGCCAAAAGTCATGCATGGCAATAATAAACTCCTGCCAGATAACTGAAGTGCAGTATGAGAAAAGACGAGGAGTCTTTCTATGGCTTCGGAACTGAGCTAGGAGGAAAATCTTTAGCATGGATTTTTTTAAAGCTATTTCAACTGCAAAGCACCATCCCCTGGACTCAAGGTGAATGCCCAAGCCCAACCACCAAACTGCATCCACAAAAATATCATTTTAACCAAAGATATATGCACAGCACCCACCTCAGTCCCAGACTAAGTCTCTAGCAAGACCCCATTCACAATAGCAGGTCCAGAACCTATTAGCCCAGGGTCTCATCCTGACATATACAGCCTAGCTCTGGCTGAATTTTTCTGACATTACTCCCTCTTTCCCCCCTTTCTCCCTTTTTTCCCCTTTCCCCCCTTCACCCCCCTTTCCCCCTTTCCCCCTTGCCCCAATTGAGACATTTTTGTACCTGTTTTGCAGCTGCAGCTACTTCTTCCAAGGCTTCCCAGATCTGGTCATCCAGAGTAGGCTGGTTCTTTAACCCAAAAATCAAGATGAAAATCAATCCCTCTCTCCCCCCAAAATAAGGTAAGAACAAACAAGAAAACCTCAAAACAACACCAGCCAAGAGAGAGAGAGAGAAAAGCCTTTGAGAGATGAGTCAGCCTCGATGCTTACAATTACGAAGGAAATCAAAGGCCTTAGAATAAACCGTTTGTCATTGCCTCCTGCTCAAAGATAGAGGGCTAAACTTAAGAGCAATCATATGCTGCAGTTGTGCCAGTAAAACTGACACTGTCTTGCTTGCCTTCAAGTCTCTCAAGGCACCAGGAGAATACAAGACAGCAGCAGAGTTAGGGAGGCCAGTGTGCCCAGACAGGAAGCAGATGGAAAGGGTGGGGAGGGGGGACAAGTAAGCAGGCTTCAACACCACCTAGAGAGAGAGGCACAGTAGCTGGTTCTTGAGATCTGAATACTTGTCCTTAGGCCTGGTTTTCCAAGCTCCTCACAGGGAACAAGGTGCCAAGAGATCTCTCTGGCTCCAAAGTGTCTTCCCCTTCCCCCTTCAGCATGCCATGGGGTTGGCCTGAAGTGACCATGACATCAAAAAAAACAGGAGAAGGAAGGGGAAAGGGGGCCTCTCAGTTTTCAGCCTTGAATTCAAGACATTCCTTAGACAAATATTCTGGTGGCCCCTGGAGTTAGAGCTAAGTAGAACTAAGTGCAAAGCAGAGCTTTACAATCTCTTAGCTGTGTGACCTTAAGAAAATCAGTTGAATTCTCTGAGCCTCAGTGACTTCCTCTATAAAATGGGGAAATGATACAATACCCATTTCAGCAGTTGTGTGAGAATTAAATGAATAAAGTATGTGTGCTATTTAGCATTGGTTTTTAATAAACACGTTGATCTTGAAGTTTCTTTGCAAAGGGCCTGAGTTTACCAGAAAATATCAGGTTTCAAAAGTAATTACATAAAATTAGAATTTGCATCAATGCATACAACATCTTACTCTGTTCAAGCTCTTTTACTAAATTTGAATTAAATTAAAACAGGTAAAGAGATCTTGGGAGACTGTTGGGAATAGATCTTTTCTCTTCAATCTCCAATGACATCAGGGGCAAGTCAAAAAAAAAAAACTTACAAAATTTAGGAAAACTAACCGTATAGGTCCATTTTTCAAATGCTATTATTCAGGTTAGTAAAATGCCTATATGTCTCAAAATTTATTTTTCTTTCAAACATCCAATTTTACATTGTCACTGGTGAAAGAAAGCGCAATTGTATTTAGATCAGTCAAAGGGCTAGGATAGGGCGCCTGGGTGGCTCAGTTGGTTAAGCGACTGCCTTCGGCTCAGGTCATGATCCGGAGTCCCGGGATCGAGTCCCGCTTCGGGCTCCCTGCTCGGCAGGGAGTCTGCTTCTCCCTCTGACCCTCCTCCCTCTCATGCTCTCTGTCTCTCATTCTCTCTGTCTCAAATAAATAAATAAAATCTTAAAAAAAAAAAGGGGGGGGGCTAGGATATTAGCAGATGCCAAAAGAGAGAGTTTGAACAAAGAGCAGAGGGACACCCAGAGCAAGGCTCTGGCAATATCAAAAAGGGAAACACACGTAAGTGGCATCAAGCTTGTTCCTCACGTCCTCCCGAAACGCATGGCACAGATGGAGAAACAAATTAACGTCAGAAAGGTCACCCGCTTTGACATTGTGAGGACAGAAATGCTTTCAGCGAGGCATAAATCCACAGCCCTCACATTTTGGAGGACTAATTTACTCCATTGCCCCCATCAAATAGTTTGGGATTGCGCAGTGCTCACTAGTAAACACTTGTGAGAATAAAAGTGGGGACTGCACCGATGCCATCATTTGAATCCTCATAAACTAGGCACTTTATGGCACCATCAGAATTTTGCTCCAAGCCTCTGATTGCTCCTCAGAGTTTGAGGAATCGATAGTGGATGAGGCAGGCATTGCGTCCAGGTTATTCAAATGTCTACAGCCAGTGACAATGGATAAAGACATCCCCAGTAATATATCACGACATAGGAAAGAGATACAGGTCTCTAGATAAAAACATTTGGGCACCAGTTTGGTCTGCTGGCACAATACCTCAACCATCCCTGAGCATTAATGAATTAGCCTTTAAGTTGTTACCCTGTAACCTCCATTTCAGCAAAGGCTGCAGTCATGATGAACAAAATGGCTCATTTTATCCTATGCAGTGATGGTGCCCCAAGATAATTAAATTTGGGGACAGTGTTCTTCAATATGTGAAGTCAGCCCATCACGCCGTAGCCGAAACTCATAAACTGGGGGTAGTACTGTTAAAATATATTGAGAAAGGGTGGGGAGGGGGGACAGCTTCTGGCTTCAGGAAAAAAAAAAAAAAGAATGTTTCAGGAACTGCTTAGTATATTAGAATGGATCAGAGAGAAGGGACCTTAGCCATCACCTAGTCCATAGCTTCCATTCCACAGTTCAGAAAACTGAGGCTCAGAGAGGGACAGGAGTTTGCCCAAAGCCACACAGCAATTTGACAGCAGAATCTAGACAAGAACCCAGTTCTTCTCAGTTCTAGGGCTCTTCCCACTGCTCCACCCACCTTTACTCTTAATAGCTGCCAAATAACACATGGCTAACTACCAAAATCAAAAGAATGGACACATAATCAAAGTTTGATTCCATAAGCCAGGGGAAGTCACATCTGAAGGCAGGCAACCACCATGAATTACAATCTCTCTGTAAAATAAGTACAGTCACCATTCTACAGAATGTGGGATGCCCTTTTTTAAATGTTATTAACTGCAGAAACTACTGGAGCCCAGGATGGTGAAAGGCAATGTTTATGCTACAAACGTCCCAAAACATAGTGTAAACAAGGTGATGGGACACCAAATACAAGGAGCTATAGATATTCTCACTAGCATCTGTGGGATGTGTCAGAGTGCACAATAGTGCTGGCATCACAAGCCGTGTCACCCTTTATCTGTTTTCCTCTTTTGGTTGCTGCTTCTAGTATGTCGTGGCCAAAAAAGTAAAGAAGATGTTCCATCAGTAGGAGGTAACCTGCTTTTGAATGTCTAATTTGTCTCGTGCTTCTCATTTTCTCAAAAGCTTTCAATATGCCCATTATCTCTGGGCCTTAACACACAGTAGGTGTGCAATAAGTGTTCCTTAGGTGAATCATAGGATTTTAAACTTTGAGGGTTTTGAGAGAACGTAAGGGTCTTGTAATTAAAACAGACACAGTTATTCGTGATTCATGGATAAATGAATCATGCTATTTTATTCTCACAATAACCCCTGGGAAGGAGGGGGGTGGGGTATTATGTTTCCCCATTTTACAGATAACAACAACCTAGGGCTCGGGAGAGGTTGTGACTTACCTGAAGTTGCACAAAAAAGGCCATGGAGGAATCTGATCTGGGAACCAGCTGTCCCTACCTATCCTCAGGCCAGGCCTTGCCTTTCCCACCAAATCATGGTATTTCTTGGTTGTTCATCTGCTGCCCGGAACTGGGACAGTCTGAACTGTGACTGCATTCTTTCCTAAGAAGGCAGCTGGATTTCTGAGGTCTTATTTATACACACTATTCTTGGGAAATGGGAATAGAGGTAGATTAGATAGGTCAATTGATCGATTGATTGTTGGCTATGAGAAGTAAAGAAGAAGAAGAAGATGATGATGATGATGATGATGATGATGAGAGAGAGCTGGCTCAGAAAGACTATTATGAAAGATAGAGGAGAGGAGCAGATAGAAGAAAAAGGCACCAAAAGCCCTGTGTGTTCCTCCCACCACATCCCTCACCCTGGCCTACCCCCAAGCTGACAGGATGTCATCCTAGAAAAGTCCTGAGATATGGACTGGAAGTTGGGTTCAAATCCCAGCCTCTCCACATGTAAGATCACACACTCACCAACCAAGTGACCTGTAGCAAATTATCTCATGCTTCTGAGCCTCAAGTTCCATCACCTTACAAAATAAGAATCATGATACCTATTAGGTGTGACTGTGGTAAAGATTAAATAAAAGACAGGGCAGAATGAAATAATCCTCCAAAGGACACAGTGCTGTACCAAGGTGAGGAATTGCCCCCCATAATATCTGAAAGTGAAGTCTGAGCAGAAGTGCCACTATCTGGAATGAGGCAGACAGTTTCCCCCCTGGAGAGTGCCTTTGCCCCATCCTTTGAAGGCAAAAATGGGTACTCAGCCCCAGTCAGCAGGAAGCACACTTTCAGAGGGGATGAGTTCAACTCTTTCTTCACTGTCTTTCAGTGATCAGAGATGCAAGACAACTAACTGTGTGTGGAGGGCGGACGGGGGGTTAGTCTAGGCTGTGAAATGTAGACAAAAATGAACTGGCCCACAAAAGGGATTTAGTCCCCACCTTTGTCTTCCACAGCACACTGTGCAAGCCATCTATGCTAGGGATGGGGGAGGAAAGTGGGGAGCCATCTGGAGTGGAAAACCCCAGTTTCTGCCCTTGGGATCTTACAGCCTAGTTGGAGGTCACATAAATGTCAAGAGCCTGAAGACCTGTCAAGAAAGGCCCATGGGTCTAATATCATTCTTCCCTGCACTAATTTAAATACATTTCCTCTCCTTTTTTCCTTTAAGGAATATTAAGAATTGACTATTTCCTCAGGTCCACTAGCACTAGGAAGACCCTTACTCAGCTGTACGTTTTCAGTAACCTTTGATTTATTTTCCCCATCTTCTCAACTCCCCTGTCACCCCAAGCCCCCCCTCTTTAAGACACACTCCCTTTCAAACACAAGCATTCATTCTCATTGACATCCACGCACACACACACTCTCAAGCTCTTTCACATATGTATTTTTACACACACACACACACACACAGAGAATGTATTTGCTACAACAGAGAGAAGGAGAGAAATAAGACCCTGCCTTCAAGCATTTGTACCTGCAGACCACAGCTGGGGCTTCTACAGAGTGGGCATAAGACAGAAAAGACCAATGGAGACACTCCCCCAAACTGTCTGGACAGACCCCTAGGAAGGAAACCT